TGTCAGCAGTTTGATTCAAAGGTGATTTTTATGACAGATCACTGCCTATTACAGCACTATATGGGCGACAAGACTTTGTCCAACATATCATGCATCATAGTCGATGAGGCACATGAAAGAAGCCTTAACACCGATCTTCTTTTAGCGTTGATTAAGAAACTACTTCATCAGAGGTTTGATCTGAGGCTTATTATTATGTCTGCCACAGTTGATGCAAACCAGCTTGCAGGCTACTTCTTTGGTTGTGGAACTTTCCATGTGGCGGGTAGGACTTTTCCGGTTGATATAAAGTATGTTCCCTGTGAAGATGATGCCCATCATGCTGTAGGTGCAATTGCTTCTTATGTCCACGATGTTATCAAGATGGTGACTGAGATCGATAGAACTGAGGGAGCGGGAGGTATTTTAGCCTTCTTGACATCTCAGAGTGAAGTTGAGTGGGCTTGTGAGCAGTTTAAAGCACCACTGGCCATTGCTTTACCTTTGCATGGCAAGTTATCCTATGATGACCAAAACCGAGTGTTTCTCCCCTATCCAGGGAAGAGAAAGGTTATATTCACCACCAATCTAGCTGAGACATCACTGACAATCCCCGGTGTCAAATATGTTGTTGATTCTGGCATGGTTAAAGAAAGCAGGTTTGAACCTGGCTCTGGCATGAATGTTCTCAGGATATGCAGTGTGAGCCAAAGTTCTGCTAACCAAAGAGCCGGTCGTGCAGGGAGAACTGAACCTGGAAAGTGTTTCAGGCTGTACTCTCAAAGTGATTTTGAGGATATGCCTCGTCATCAGGAACCTGAAATTCGGAAAGTTCATCTTGGTGTTGCAGTGCTGAGGATTCTTGCTTTAGGTATCAAGAATGTGCAGGATTTTGATTTTGTTGATGCACCGAGCCCCAAAGCTATTGAGATGGCCACCCGAAATCTGGTTCAACTAGGAGCTGTTACACAAAGAGATGATGCATCATATGAATTAACTGCAGAAGGACTAAAACTGGTGAAGTTGGGTATTGAACCTCGGTTGGGAAAAATGATCCTGAGTTGCTTTGATCAACGTTTGGGTAAAGAAGGTGTTGCGCTTGCTGCCGTTATGGCAAATTCCAGCAGCATTTTCTGTAGGGTCGGTTCTGAAGGAGACAAACTAAAATCTGATTGCCGCAAGGTGCAATTTTGCCATCCAAGTGGGGACCTCTTTACTTTACTATCTGTTTACAGGGAATGGGAGATTGTGCCTAGGGAAAAGAAGAATAGCTGGTGTTGGGATAATAGTATCAATGCCAAATCCATGAGAAGATGCCATGAGACAGTGCTGGAAATGGAAGCCTGTCTTCAGAATGAGCTAAATATGATCTTAGCCAGTTACTGGCGCTGGCATCCTCAAGCGCATAACAAGTGTGACGAAGTATTGCAAAGTATAATTCTTTCTTCACTTGCGGAAAATGTTGCTGTGTACTCAGGTTATGATCAGCTTGGTTATGAGGTTGCGCTATCTGGGAAGTGTGTCCAACTACATCCTTCCTGTTCGCTTTTGAATTTCGGCCAACGACCACGTTGGGTAGTCTTTGGGGATGTCCTTGCATCAGCTAACGAGTATCTGGTCTGTGTGACTGCATTTGAGTTTAGTTCTCTTGTTAGCCTCACTCCTGCTCCTTTGTTTGATTTTCTGAAGATGGATGCACTAAAGTTAGAAAAGAAGGTTTTGACAGGCTTTGGAGTCGTGCTACTCAAAAGATTTTGTGGAAAATCTAACAGTAGCATTAACAATCTTGTCTCGCGCATTAGAACTTCTTATAAGGATGAAAGGATAGGCATTCAAGTTAATGTTGATGAGAATGAGGTTCTTTTATATGCTTCTTCAAGAGACATGGAGAGTGTTACATTCCAGGTAAATGATGCTCTAGAGTATGAAAGTAAGCTGTTGCGGAACGAATGCTTAGAGAAATGCCTATTCAATGGAGGATCAGCAGCTTCGGCCTCTGTTGCTCTCTTTGGAGCTGGTGCTGTGATAAAGCATTTGGAGCTTGAGAAGAGATGTTTGACTGTGGACATATTTCCTTCAAATGGAAATGCCATTGATGACAAGGAATTGCTGATGTGTTTGGAGAGAGCCACATCTGGTAATATTTGTATGGTGCACAAGTACTTTGGAATGGGCCAGGACAAAGAGGAGAACAAGTGGGGCACAGTAAAATTTCTTACCCCTGATGCTGCAGAACAGGCTACATTATTAAATGAAGTGGAATTTAATGGTGGCTTTCTGAAAATGGTTCCATCCAGGAGCATACACAGTAGTGATCAAAAGATGTTTCGCTCAGTTCTCAAAGCTAAAGTTTCTTGGCCTCGTAGGTACAGTAAAGGAGTAGGCTTTCTGAGATGCGACCCTATGGATGTTCCTTTAATTTTAGATGACATCTCTGATCTCATGATTGGTGGAAATGTCATCCGTTGTGAGGCAAGCGATAAGAACCCTAACAACATAGTCATTGCTAGACTTGATAGGGACATTGCTGAGACAGAGATACTTGAGGTGTTAAGGGCAACAACAAATAGGAGAATTCTGGATTTCTTCTTGGTGAGAGGAGATTCTGTAGAAAATCCTCCCATAGCTACTTGTGAAGAAGCACTTCGGAAAGAAATATCTCCCTTCATGCCTAAAAAGGTTCCGTTTGTTAACTCTGTTCGTGTCCAGGTCTTCCAGCCGAAACTAACTGAGTATTTCGCAAAAGCAGCTATAATATTTGATGGATCTCTTCATCTTGAAGCAGCCAAGGCCTTGGAGCAAATCGACGGCATGGTTTTGCCTGGATGCCTTCCCTGGCAGAAAATAAGATGTGAGCGACTGTTTCACAGCTCTGTTTCCTGTCCTGCAGCAGTTTATCATGTCATCAGGAACCAGCTGGATTCTTTACTTGCTAGCCTCCACCGAAGAAAGGGTATCTTGTGCTTACTTATTTTTATATATCTTCTTTACAATTATGTCTGTGTCAAACTAGGTTGCTTAAGTGAAGTGCCGGATTTTGTTTTAAACTGAACCCGAAATGTTCTGGTTTATACGCTCGGTTTGTTGACTACTATATATATTGTTGTTTACATTCCTATAGCACTATTTTAAATCTTATTTGTAGTGCTCAGATTGTTGGTTGATGTGTAACTCTGCTGTCTTTTATCTCGAAAATTCTCCAAAGAGAAAAGATGGGCTTGTTGAAATATGCTCTCTATTTTTGTGTTGGTTGATTGGGGGAGGAGAAAAATTAGAGAATCCAAAAGGGTTAGTGAGGGGATTCTTCTGCAACCTTTCGTGTCTCTCAACGTTATTTATAGTTTAAGAAGTGACTCTTATTTCAGAAGAAAAAAATTTCAGTAGTCAGATATGGATTTATTTAATTGGTAGCTGAGTGAAACTTGTGATTGTTTTGCAGTTGGGAAATGCGAGCTACAGAGAAATGATAACGGTTCCTGTACAGTTAGGATATCTGCCACTGCCACCAAAGTTGTGGCAGATTTGAGAAGGCCACTGGAGCAACTTATGAAAGGCAAGATTGTAGATCACGTGGATATTACTCCAAAGGTTGTTCAACTTCTGTTCTCTCGAGAAGGAAGCAACATTATGAGGACAATTCAACGGGAGACAGGAACCTATATTTATTTTGACAAGCATAGCTTGCTTGTTAGTATCTTTGGTCCTTTAGACAATGTTGATAGGGCTCAACACAGATTTATTGGTTCCCTTCTGGCGCTACATGAAAATAAACAACTTGAGGTGCATCTTCGTGGAGGACTTTTGCCTCATGACCTGATGAAAAGAGTTGTTCAGACATTTGGACCAGACCTTAGTGCACTTAAAGAAAAGGTGCCTGGGGCAGAGTTCTCTCTGAACACAAAGCGCCATTGCATCTATATCAATGGTACTAAAGATATGAAGCAAAGCGTTGAGGACATAATCTCTGAAATTGCTCAAAGAAGTTTTCCAACTCAAACGACAGGAGATGATGCTGACTGTCCTGTTTGCTTGTGTGAACTGGAGGATCCTTATAAACTTGAAGCTTGCTGCCATGTATTCTGTCGGACATGCTTGCTAGAGCAGTGTGAGTCTGCAATCAAAAGCCGGGAAGGTTTCCCCATGTGCTGTCTTCATCAAGGTTGTGCGGAACCCATCCTGCTTGCTGATTTGAAGTCTCTATTGTCAATTGAGAAGTTGGAAGAACTTTTCAGGGCTTCTTTGGGGGCTTTTGTGGCAGCCAATGGTAGTACCTACCGCTTTTGCCCCTCACCAGATTGCCCTTCAGTTTATCGCATTGCAGATCCCGATATGGTTGGTGCTCCTTTTGCCTGTGGCGCATGCTATGTGGAGACATGTACGAGTTGTCACCTGGAGTATCATCCTTACCTCTCCTGTGAGACGTACCAGAAGGTTAAAGACGACCCAGATTGCTCTCTAGAGGAATGGTCCAAGGGGAAAGACAATGTAAAGAAATGCCCCGTTTGCAGATTTACAATTGAGAAGGTGGATGGCTGCAATCATATCGAGTGTAAGTGTGGGAAACATGTTTGCTGGGTTTGCTTGCTCTTCTTTGACACCAGTGATAATTGCTATGATCATTTGAGGTCTGTTCACCGGTCCATTACATGAGAAATAGGGAACCATAGTTTATGTAAGCGTGTTCATGTAAAAAAATTGCACCGAGTATGTAACCAAGAGCTTTTTATGTCTATACATATCTATGTTTGTGTCTTCAGAACCCTTTTCTTGTCTATAGTTAAATGTCTCTATTACAACTTATACAAAGTTTCTGTCTAATTTTGTGGCGTTTGGTTAATTCTGTATATACAACATGACTGAAAAGCTAGCCTTCTCAACTGCAAAACAATGTGGATGTGAGAAGGAAAAGCAATTCAGAATATGAGAAAAAAGAAACAAAAAGATGAACAAGTCTGGCATAGCCTAAGCCAATGACACGTATTATCTACTTTGGTATCGTGTGCCTTTTTGACCCTCGACCGTCAAAGGAGGTATCTATAACCAATTGCAGCTATGCCTAAACAGAAAGCAACTGCTATAAGCCATGTTACACCATTTGTACCATTTTCATCTTCTTTTGTTCTGTTCCATTCATCAACATGTTCATATTGCTGCTGTTGCTGTTTCTGCTGTTTTTGTGTTTTTAACTGCAGGAGTTGTAGCTCAAGAACTTTGATCCAGTTCCTATAAGCAAGAGCTCGCGCTGATTCATCCAACATCAAATTCGAAAGAGCTTCCTTCTCCTTCTGCAATGCCAGGTACTTCCTCTCTGCCTCTCTTGCTCGTGTCTGTGATCGTCTCAACGCCTTTAGAACCTCCAACCTATCACTCCCTAGTTCTTGTCTAACCTCGATATTCGCCTCCTTAACATTATCATCATTCATATCAGGGCCAGAAAACACCTTGAGAGGTGGAGGCAAGTCACAATTCTGCATTAGAAAATCAAGACTTGATTTTTGTTTTTGGCCAAACACATAATTCATCTCATCTTTGTTGATCATCAACCCCATAGGACTTAACTTTTGGTTATTCATCAACCATCCTGCCATCATCCCAGAATTCTTGAATTTTTTTGGCTAAATTTTGCAAAAAAATGATGAAATATGTCAAGAATTCAAGAAAGTTGGTTGATGGTAGTTGTTGGATATAAGGGGAGTTTGTCAAAATGATCAAAGGTTTTTGATTGGTTGATAGGATTAGTGGGACCCACATTTCTGATGAAGTGGCACAATCTAGTTGGTTGGATAACGTTTTAGTTTTCTAACATATATTTATTTTTTAAATATAAGATGCGTGTAAGCATAGGAAGAAATTCTTTGCCTCTGATTATAACCAAAGATTATATTAGAGTCAATATATTCCATTTGCTTTGAAAAAAAAAAAGATTCTATTTGTCTTTATTAGTTATTAATTCATAGAAAGACAAATTAAAAGTTATAGGATTATGAAATAGGTCTGGTATTGTGTACGCAGTCTTTATTCCTATCTTGTGAAAATAGAGAAACATAATCCTATAACTTATTGTTTGTGTGCGTAGTCTTATCCCTATCTTATCGTCTTTGTTTTTTAAAGTAACAATTATTAATTTAGACTTAATTTGTTTGGTTATTTAAACGACAACTAATAAGGACCGATGGAAGTTGGAACATCAATTAAGTTTGTGAAATAAAGACAGTATTTGAAATCATTGATAAATCAAATTAATTTGAAATTAAAAATTTATTTGGAGATTCAATATAGATCTCAAAAATTGTATTTTTTTTTTCTAACTTTGACTATGTAAATCTCTTACTGAATATTAATTTATCTGATAAAATAATACTCAACTTGCTAGTGCATATTTAAAATTCACTAATACTATATAAGAATAATAATTACACTATTGATTTTTATAACTCATTCATTCTTAAATATTATTGTATGGTGCGGCTTAATGAATTTTGTGAGAAGCCATTTTCTTTATGACCGCAGGGGTGAGTTTTCGTGCACCTCGATTAATTTTATGGAATATTTGTCACCTCTCATCAATAATAGGTATCAGGTAACTCTACTCACCAAAATAAATTTAGTTAAAAGCCATTTTTATCACCTCAAATACTTGGATGTACAACTTAATTAACTTGAACATTTATTTGCCATGGGCCAAAGGTCAAGTTAGATAATTCGATAAAGTCATTAAACTTTTTTTTTTGTGTGTATTTTAGAATACGATTAACTAACGTATTAATTTTTTCTTTCTTCAATATATTGATGTGACATGAACGTAAAATTTGTGAATGAATGAGTTGGACCACCTCAAATTAAATAGCGTGAAGCGCTCATTTCGTTTTTGCTTGCTTTTATTCTGTTAGACAAATGAATGAGGGACCGATGTATACGATTTTTAGGAAAATTTAGTCACTATGAAGTAAAAAAATTTGACCAGAAAAGTTCTTGCAGTAGCATTGAATGCAACCACTTGCTCCTTTAATTGCTCTTTTTTTTCCGTTTTGAGAAGAATATACTCCTTCCGTTCCTTTTTACTTGACATATATCGATTGGATAGTTGATATTTTTTGTAATTATACTATTTTTTAAAAAAAATTGATTAATACTTTATATAATTACTTTATAATAATAATAATAAGTAATAAAATCTCTTGATTTGCTAAAATGGAAATAGGAGGCTAAAAGCTTTGAGCACTTGTAAATTCAGACAATTAAAAAAGTTAAAGGTTACATTTGGACATTTTCCAAGGATTGAAAAAGTAGATAACCTACCATATTATAAATGGTCCAAACATTTAATTTAAAATTAAGAAAGATTACCTACTTTATCATGTGAGATTAACTAAAGCTTTGAACATTTCACATTTTCACACAAAGTTATCCATGGTTAAACTTTAAAAAAAAATGAAGTTGATCATCTATCATATTTTAAGTATTTTTTTCTTTATGACAAGGAAATTCATAATTGCTATTCTTTAAGTGTATACAAAATAAATTTCGTTGTTACACATTATATCCAATGGAGCTCTTTTAACATTTCCCTCATTAATTATGCTTAACTATCTTCCTAAAGGGTGATGGTATTTCATATTCACACCCTTCTACAATAATAATATTATTCAGTATCGTTTCATCAAAAACTTTCAATATATATACATATATTATTTTCCCTTGATTTATGATTTATAAATAACAATCGAATTTTTATTTAAGGATTAAAAGATTCACAAATTATAATGACCATATATTATGTTTTTTATGTCAAACAACTTGCTAAATGCTAATGTAGTTGAAAACTCATTCATAAACTACCTAACCTAAATCTCTCTTTTCATATTAGCAAATCTTTTTATGTCTATAATCTTCATTTGTCAAAAATCTACGCATTAATTTGTCTTTCGAGTTTCAATAATGGATACAGAGGATGGAATTAAATGTCTAAGGAAATTATGCTGATAAACAAATATATACTAGTTAATTAGCTAACATAGTTATAGTTTTCATTAATTATCACTCACAACTTAATTTTAGCTGTAATTACATCATCTCTCTCCTCTCTTCCTCTCTCTCACCCCTCTCCTCTTTTATACATATACAAGTATAAATTATACATTTACATATAAAATTATATGACAGATATATAAATATAAGGATAATTAGCCTCTTTCCACTCCTTGCCCTCTCTCGCTAGCCTCTCTCCTCCCTTTCCCAATCTCGCTCGCCTCTCTCCTCCCTTTTCCAATCTCGCTCGCCTCTCTCCTCCCTCTTCCAATCTCGCTCGCCAAAATACAAATACATATGTATACTAGTTACATATATACAATTATCTGACAAATATTCATATACTATTTGTCTCTCTCCATTCTCTACCCTCTCGCGGTCGCTCTCTCCTCCCTCCTCCCTCAAACATATAGTTACAAATCGTAATTAGCAAACTACTATGAAATCTAATTAAATTTGTTTTAGTGGCCATTTGCAAATTTCAATAATCTCGAGTCTTGACAACAAGCAAATCGTCCGTTTTCACTAGTTGTCGTCCTTATTTAATACTTATTACTTCATAATTCTGCGGTGAGACTTGAGGTAGGTTTCATCTTACACGTGTAGTAACACTTACGTTGTGTATAACAAGATATACACAAACCAAAAAAAACTCAAATCAATTTTGTTTTTTTTTTCCACTTTAGTCATCTCTTGGACTTTTATGTGATGTAAGGCCCCACAATTTTTATTTTTTTTAATTAACGCGTAGAGCACGTTAAAAGTCCTCATTGACTTATCACAAATACTCCAAAATACAGAAATTTCTAGTAAATTTCCCCTTAATTAATTCCTTCAATCCTCAACCAAAAAAAAATAAAAACCAAAGTGAGAAATCTTAGCAAATCTTAGTGTACATGAGATGTAAAAATCCAAGAAAATGATTCCAATTTTCTTGTTTTTACACTAAGATACTCTATTCATCTTCCCATGAAAATTCAAGAAAAAAGGTACCATTTTTTTTCATAGTTTCTTGAAAATCTTAAGGTATTGTAGAATCCAAGAAAAGGGTCATCAAATTCTTGAAAAAAAAAATCGTAGTTTCTTGAAAATTTTAAGGTAATCTTAAAGGTGTTGTGCTTATGTTCTACCTTCTTGTTTGATTTGATGGCTTTTTTTAATAGAAGGATGTTAGAAGAACATAAATTTGATATACAAAAAAGTGCTAAATGTTTTGGTTGTATTTGTACAAATGATTGTGGAGGTGATGATATATCTTTTCCTAGTGATGGTCCATATTTCCCCCCTCCTCCTCCTCCTCTCCCTAATGTGACAAGTGAAAAATATCATATGCCTTTTTATTTTATCATAATGCTTTGTATGTTTGGGGCTTTTTTTATGTTCATATGTTATATGATTATACTTAAGAGGAATAGGTCAAATTCAAGATCAATTAGGAGAAATAATGCTTCACAATTTGATGAAACTAGAGAGGATTTTGTTATAGATGAGAATTTGGGCCCAATTTTGGATCATCCGATTTGGTATATTCGCACCGTGGGACTTGGACAAGATGTTATTGATTCGATTTCGGTGTTTAAGTATAAAAAAGATGAGTTTTTGATTGATGGGAGTGATTGTTCTGTTTGTTTGACTGAATTTGAGGAGGATGAGAGTTTAAGGTTGTTGCCTAAATGTAGTCATGCTTTTCATATTCCTTGTATTGATACTTGGTTAAGGTCACACAAGAATTGCCCCTTGTGTCGTGCTCCTATTGTATCCGATATGGATAATTCCCCTCGAATGGATCATGTTGTGGAAGTTGTATCGATTACTAGTGTAGGTGATGATGGCTCTAGTACGAATGATGTTGATCAAGACGATGATCTTGAATTGGATGGAGAGGGGAATAATCAAGAAATGAGGTGTGGAGTAGTTGAAAATCTTGATGAGGAGGAGGAAGGGAGATCAACGATGGACTTATCGATGAAAAATGCACGAGTTAATCTTGATGGAAGGAGGAAAAGGGGTCGTGTTTTTAGTGATTTGGTTGATCAACATAGAGTGAAGGAGATCATCAACAATGAACTACAACCAGCACGAAGATCGGTCTCAATGGATTCCTCTGTTGCTCAAGTGATTCACCTCACGATGAACGAGATGAACGAGTTGAATGAGATGAATTCGAGGAAAATTGATCAAGGGAGTTCGAGTAATTCAAAGAGAGGAGATAGAAATTCGAGTTTGTATAAAGCAATGAAGAGTTCTTCCTTTGGACGTTCATTGCAAAAAGTTCCTATTAGTATGAAGAGGTCTTTTTCTACTAGTGGAAAGTGTTCATTGCCTACAACTAGCAAGATTCAAGATCCAAGACAAACAATGTAAGAACATTTCACTTTAGTTCTTGAATACTTCAAGTTGGGTTCAAGATTTTCCTATATATATATATATATATGAACAATATATGAAAATATAAAGTGTAAAAGTAATGTTCCACATAGAGGACTTGGAAACAAATGAATTTTACATATTCCCTCTTCTTAAAGAGATATTTGAGTTTATTATTAGGTTAATGTTGTGA